CTGAAGGCACGGTCAAAGTGTACCAATGGCATGGTTGAAGCATGCCGGTTAGTTTTTTACCGTCCAATCGGCACATTTGTTCCATGCCATCAGCATACTTTTACCGTTCTTTTCCGGGGCAGTGCAGTGGAACCAAGCAATCAATGCAATGTTGTGTGGGAATGCACAGAGTAACTGTGATGATTAGTTTTCAGGACAAGTGATAATACTGTATACCACAAAGCGTTTCTCAACAGTGTTTCTAATGACTGGTGGTTCCCATGAGAGCAACGTGGTCTTCCACTTTGCAAAAACTAATTTTCATCCTGTTTCTACTCTAAAAATGGAGAAATCACTTTGTTTTTTGAAACTTCCACGATGAACGAATTGGCACTATAAATATATTATTTATGGTTTTATTTCTTTATTGTATATATGTTGCTTTACTTGTTACTGATTAGATGCTCGTTACATTTACCAGAAAAAAAGAGGTCACATAGCGTTATTTTACGCTTACTACAAGAATCCAGCACAGAACATTTTTAACTCTGATCAATAAAGCTGAGATACGTCCAAGTCTTAGAGTACAATCTCACAGCAGTTTTACAGATACTGCTTGCTAGAACTTGTGTTGAAATCATTTTGACTATTTTGTGTTTTAGAGCAAAGTAGAAAGTACCACGTTGATTGCAAAGCTCATTAGAAACACTATTCCTCAATACGTCATACGGTGTAGCAGAATATGTAGCCCTCCCTCATCATATTTACTAACCTCTTTTTCCTATTTAAGTCAGAGATAATCTTTTCTTAAGATTTTTTCAACCTTCTCCATAGCTGATCCACAGGAACTGCAGAGTTATCGGTTTTTTTCTATCTGTTGTTTAGCATCGCACACCGATGACCAAGAAATTTGTATAACAAGTTGATAATTAGTTACCCTAGTGAATGTACTTTTGTACCAGTACGTAGGAAAGTACTGGGGAAGGAATGTCCAGAGTACCAGGATTTTTTTGGCTTGTTTAAAAGGTTCTTATCGAGTATTTGGTAGGTACCTTTGCAAGAACTTGCAAACTGTATGCAAGTATCTGGTACATATTAAATCAAGCAACACTTGACAAGTAACCAAGTAACTAAGTACTTGGTCTTAGGCACATTTACTATGTTATATCACAGTCCATGAATTGGTGCACTCCCTCTAATTTGCACTGTGGTACTTCCATGGCCGCAAACATCAGGAGTGTTCGAATAATTGAAAGTTTTTCGATCGATAATCTTTCAAATTAGTATTCGTTTGGAGATCTTGTGCTACTAGATATAATGACGGTAGTAATCTCATAAGAGTAGGTTAGACGCCATGTTTTGAAGTCAGTAACTATAGCACTTGATCAGCATATGAGAAATTTGACATATTTAGCTACAGACGACGCTACTCTAACAAGATTTTATTTTGTTCTAGAACAGTAGAAACAGAAGTATTTCTATCAGAAAAAAAGAGTTTAATTAATAAACAGGCAACAATGTCCTATGATGGTAATTTCAATACATTTGATGAAGATCCAGCCGCTGAATTTCTCGAAAGAGAAAACCGTGAACTAGCTGGTATAAATGATGATAATTATTTCAGAAACGGTAATACTATTATGCATTACTTAGACCCTTTTAATCACTCAATCCACCTTGTGATGAAAATCTTATAGGAATAAGAGGCAAGTGTTTTTGCAAATGAGAGATAATCAGAACCATAAGGAAGAGAAAAGAAAAGTTTACTTTATTCTTTCTCTAACTGTACGTAAGCTCTTATCTTTCTGTTTTTAGGATCTCATTCACCAGTGTATGGCAACGCTTCACCGTTGTCTCATACAAGTGCCCGTTCAGAGACGCCATCAGCATCGACGATGGGTAGTCCGGGTAAGTACACAGTACTATCTCACTTGGATGAACAACAAAATGAACCGGAAAAAATGAAAAAATGGCGCGAAGAATTTCAACATAGAATTGTTAAAAAAGATTCGGAAGAAGAAACAAAGAAAAAAGAAATGAAAGAACAAGCCAAAAAAGAATTGGATGATTGGTATAAAAATCGTTTAGAACAAATGGAACGTGTTAAAAATCAAAATCGAATGAATAATCGAACAATGGAGGATGATTTATTTCATGATGATAATACTTCATCATCAAGAATGGCAAATGGTAATAACAATAGTACACGTATCAATGATTGGGATAAAATAACATCTTTATGCGAATTTAATCCAAAAAATACGCGTTCGCAAAAAGATCTTAGTCGTTATCGATCATTATTATTACAATTAAAACAGACACCAGTTGATAAATAAGCAAATGAATATTTCGTTTGAATTTGGAGAGAACATTTTTACACACGACAGATGGTTTTTCGTTGTTTTTCTATTTATTAGCGATTTTTTTCACTTTTGTTTGTTTGTACACGGTGTGTTTATAAAAGACAGTCAGTTTACCCAGATTTTCCATGTAGCTGAATGATCTGTGTGTTTAATGTTATTATCATCCGACTTAATCCTATTTTTTTTTCTTTCCGCTAAGCATTATCTGTTTTTACAACTATGCATTATCTCATTTTATTTTTTATCTTTGATAAATCATTTATGTGTGTGTGAGTGAGTCCACAATTTCATTCCATAAGAGAGCATTCGAATTTACGTTTTTTATATAAAAAAAAGAAGCTTTTTTTGTACGCATCTACATATAACCAAATGATTTCCCAAATAAAATTATTTTTATTTATTCTCCTTTCGTTTCTCACGTTTTCTCAATGTATACGTTTCCTCATTTTTATAGTGCGGAGTAATTATTTATGGTGGTAATACTTTTTTTTGTATGTTGTTCTTTCCTTTGACACCTATATTTTCTATTTCTCTCTCTAAATATTTCATTTCACTGATCATGCATAAGTGCGTGTTGATTGTTGTTTTTATTTTGTTGTTGTTGTTATATATATTTATATATATTTATTCTATTAATTAACTGTAACAAAAATAAATATGAAAAATAAAGACCAAATAAAATCGTATCTTTTGTTCGAAAATCTCGCATGAAGAAATTTTGATCTTTTTTGTCTGTCTTGAAGACCATATCGCGTGATCTGTATGGAAAACGTTTGGGATCTAAACATTGAGTATTGGCTGAGATAATAATATTTTACATGCCGATTTACTGCAAAGTCGTATCTGTCCACCTTTTTTGAAGAAGCGTTTATCCAAGATGTACTTCAAAAGATCATATGGTACAGTGGACATTCAGGCGGACATTAAATTAAAAACTGAAAGTGCATTTTTTGACGATTCAAATAGTGCTACATATACTGCAAACTACGGGCTATTTAATGACATAAAAATTTGCTTCCTCTTGTCATAGTTAGCCGGAAACCATATAGCGAAAAATTCGTCGAAAAACCTAGCTACTAAGGAATTAAGAGTCTTATTATGGAGAATGGAAACTGTTCTTACGAAGTTTATACATAGGCTAAAACTAGACTTTTCACGCTAGCGACTTATTAAAAGAAAAGTTTTTCGGCCGTTTGTCAATCTGAAAAAAATAATTTTTCTTGTAGGCGAAGTGTTTTTCAAAGACGTATGCTCAGTATAATGAGATGCCTGGATTTGTCTAAGCTCCAAATCCGCTGAAACTTTACCAGAATGTTCTTCTACTCACAATACATCTATGCGAGTAGTATAAATTAGCATAAATGATCGTGAGTTATAGCTTTTCCAAAAAACCTCATTTTCCGACTCCAAAGCATTTCTATTCAAACCAATGGCATATTCGGAATCAGCGCGTGAAACTGCGTCGGATGATGTATGGCACATGATATTTTCTAACAAAAGACCAAAGTTACATGTCCGCCTGCTCTAGTCAAAAATGCCCACTGTGTATGGACAAGAAAGAACATCTGATTCGTGATCAGCATCATCGATTACCTGAAACCTCATAACTTTCAATCAAAAAGCGATTAATCCTTACATCGGAGAGCAAAATTGAGAGTGGTGCTTATTTAGTGAACAAAATTTTCGTTAATCAAAACTAATAAAATATACAAATTTGGAAAATCTCATGCTATTCAAAGAAAATGTCCCGCATCGCAGTGCACAGCTATTATTCAGATTTATAACATCGTGATTGCTGTTGTTCATTTGTGCGGTGGACAATTTAATGATCGAAAATATGCTGCGTGAAAAATGTGAAGAAATGTTTTAATGTTATTAGTGGATACATATCAACAAGTTTAATTATTAGTCATTTTTCTTACGAAAAAAATCATGAAACAGCCAGACTTGAATTTAACAAGCATCCATTTCACGTCATATTATTTGACAACGAGAGAAAATATTTATCCTACATATTTCTGATAATCATATGCTCATTCTAGTCAACAAAAATACAGAATTCGTTGAGTGTATACCAGAGCTCTGTATGGACTCAAAATTCTGAGTCCAATCCAGTCAATCTCATGGACTCTAAAAAAGTAGCCCAGTCCAGTCCACAATACAGAAACAACATGTTTTTTACTGATTTTTCCTCGATTCAAGTCTGTATAAAATTTTTTTCGAGTTCAGACCAATCCATGATCTTGAAAGGTTGAGTCCATGAGCTCAAAAAAAGTGGTCAGTCCACTCCACAGGAACTGGACTAGACTATGGACTCAGTCCAATTCATACGGAGCTCTGATGTATACTTAAACTATGAAGTCATTAGCGAGGATATTTATGTTAATAATGTTTTATAAATTAAAACCATTCTGAAACTTTTAGTATACATGATAAAGGTGAGCGTTAAGATCACACTTATTAAATATATCGTGCATATAAAAATGAACATGTCCAGAAAAACAGCATTTACTTTTTATTTTAATCTACGATGAAAAAACGAGGAGTATCTCTTATTTCTATCCTATCGGAATACATAACTTGTTTAAAGAAAATATAATACAATGAAGTATATTTCATTGTGTCAATCTATGACTATTCATAAGGAATACTATTATATTATTATAGTTCTAGTATAGTTTGTCAACTTTATTTCTGTCTCGTTTTGATAGGCGTTTGTTAATTGTTTCGATTGTACTTGTAAATGATTAATTAAATTTGTTTCCCTATTTTTTATCCATGCAGTATTCATCAATGCTAAATCTAGTGCCTGATTTCGAGCTGTTTCACCTGCTCCACTGCTGGGATATTTGGCAAAGAAATCTCTCATCTAGAATAATAAAACGTATATAGAGTCAAGAAATGAGACTGTAATAGTATTTACTTACTTCTTCTATATAAGTATCATTATCGAACGACTTTGCAATATAAAGGATTAATATACCTAATTTACGATCATTTATGCCGAATCTAAATATTCCCAAAAAATGTTTAAACTGTTTCATCACAAATTTGACGTTCGTTACGTTTACCTGTCAATAAATCTTTGAAAATTATCACGATAATAGTTCCATGCCATCGATCGTCCATTGGAATTTTGTGAAATATAACTAAACATGCTAAAAAAGTCTTGCGTTTTGATTATAGTCGAATTATTTAAGCCTTCTTCTAATAATCTGAAAAGATAACACAAACGAGACTAGTAAATGATATCATTTTTTGTTTACCGATGTAATTTCTTAGTATCTTGTGAATTGCTAATTGCATGTAATGCTCGTAGCTGTTCTTGTGGTGATATAGCATATCGATAGTAATCATACAATATTTCCCAATCGATATTATTATTTGTATTTCGAATATGACACGCATATATTGTTGACAAAATGTCACCACTAGTACTTTACGAAAAACAAAAAAAATGACTAATTAAATCAAAAAGATTACTCACTAACACCCACTTTAGATTGATAGCATCCTTATTTTGAAAATAAGTGGAGGGAATGCTTCTGAATAATTCACTAACTTTATCTAGCGTATCGCTGCTATTCATACGGCATAGCATATTAAATTGTAATGATCGCAATAATCTAAAATATATGAAGAGAAAGTTTGATTTGTGAATAGAAAATAATGTATTATGTTATATATGACGATCTCAATTGTTGTTAAAACGATTTAATCACCTTTCATTATGATTTACTCCAGGTGATATTAAATTATTTAGTATATTTGAATCACCTCCTGGAAGAATTTGATCGATTGCAAACATCTAAAGTTCAAATATATCTAAGAGAATCCGAGTAGACTGTTCTATTTAAGTAGATAAGATAAATATATATTTACTCGAAAAATGTCAGAATTTTCTCGATGCATCATCACATCTGCCAGATTATCCCAATGCCATGCAAATGTTTTCCACGGTACATATTCTTTGTTATTTGTTATTCGAAGTGTTTTTACTATTCTAAGAGGTATTTCATATTCAATAATACCGTTATAACTCAATAGAAATGCATCATGTATTAAATTTGTTTTATCTTCATTAGAAAAGACCTATCATATAAAAAGTATCAACTATTTTTTTTTGTTTTTAAATAAATGATTAAAATGTTAGGTTTTTACTCACTTTTGGTGCATCCAATAAGACACTTTCAAAATGTTTCCATATTAGATTGGACGATGCGTTTGTTACAGTATCATTTTGTGTATAATTATAACTTGTTACATAGAATCCAGTAAAATTTTTATTACATTTAATCCATGTAAAATATTTATCTTTTATTGTTACAGAAAGTTGTGATGAATCCAAATAGAATGGATTAAGTGGTTCAATATCGACTGTGTGGTTTTGATTAGCATGATTACCACCTAGAGGAAACAAAAAAAAAGAAACATGAAAAATAGATCAAACTTTTATACTAACAAAATTGAGTCATTGCTCTTTCGCATATGGAAAAAAAGAGATGATTATATGTATTTTCTACCTAAAAAGCATTCAATATACAATATCCATGTATAGTTTTTATTTAAAGTTGATGAATTGGATGCATTTATTATTAGAAATCGACTTTGAGTAAAATTTAATACTGTTCCACTACTTGTTAATGTCATGTGTACATTTAATAATGGAAAATTTAATTCTTCTAACCAATTATTCATAAATTCTTTGCCAGTGAGAGGATTTGGAAATGTTAAATTATTATAGAAATCATCTGGATTTCCAACATCGAATGCATTTTGCTTCAAATAAGTTCTTAATCCATCTCGAAATTCATTTTCTCCGACAATTTTTTCTAGCATACGTAGAATACTAGCTCCTTTAGAATAAGTGATAGAATCAAATAAACTTGTTATATGACCAGCTGTGCTAACATTATGAACCGATATTGGATGTGAACTTGGTTTAGCATCATCCCACATAACTCCAATGACATCTTCTGTTAATGCTTGCAAATCCATATGCCATTCTGGATGATTTTTTACTAATGGTTTATAAGAAAGCCATGTTGCCATCGCCTCATTTAACCATCTTTAATTAAAGATAATCAAATAATTGTATTTAATAAGATAATTTTTAACTTTACGTACAAGTCATTCCACCATTCACACGTTACATAATTTCCAAACCCTGTTGAAAAATATGATTAGAACCAATCTTGCAACATGTTTTATTCTTCAACGTTTTATCTTACATACAAAAATGTGCTAATTCATGAGAAATCGTTTCTGCCATTGCCTGTTTTTGATGGGCAGAACCATATTGTTCATCAAATATAAGTCGATCTTCTCTAAATGAAATTAAACCCCAATTTTCCATGGCACCGCTAGCAAAATCTGGAACAGCCAATAGATCTAAATCAATAGCATTTCATGACGCTTAAAATTTTGTTGCCTTAAATGTGTTATACTTGCCAATTTGTGGTGGTAATGAATCAGTCGTATTAAAATATTCACCAAAATAAATCATTGCCTCACGAGCAATGTTCAAAGCAAACAATGTTTGATTTTTATCTGTGGGCCCTTTTCTTGCCCATACTCGCAACTGAAATTTTATTGTTCAAATTGTGTTTAAAATTTTTTACCATACACTTACTGTTATATTTTCATGTTCTATAGATTTAACACCAAAATCGGCCGGTACAATGGCCCAAGCAGCCAGATAAGTACTCATTTTGAATGTTTCTTGAAACGTTGTCCGCATTAAGTCGGCATCTTCTTGTTTTATACTCTATAATAACGCATTTAAAAGTAAACTACATACAACCTTAATAATTTAATCAACAGGTCAAACCTCTACAGGAAAATTAGATAATGCAATTGTGTTTGTAGGATGAACAATTGCTATTTTAAATGTTGCTTTCAATTTTGGTTCATCGAAACATGGAAACGCTTTTCTCGCGTCTGTTGGTTGAAATTTTGTTGCTAAAAGTTTTCTGGGACGGAAAATTTTCAGTTTTAAATTTTCTTTTAAAACTCTTTTTCTTACCTATTACCATTTGTATCTTTGAATTCACTCTGATAAAATCCAACATTGCCATCATTTAATTTACTTTCAAATTCTTGATAGAGTATATATTTTGTTTTGCCATCATTTTCAGGAAACGATTTACCAGAATTATCTTCTAGAATAACACTTTCATTTTCCAAACAAAGTGACATATTCACATTCATTGTTACATCTCCTTGTTGAAGAAGAGGTGGACACAATTTAGTCATTCGTTTTGCATGATAAACTAGACGTTTTAGACGTTGTTTTAGTTGAAAATGCATCTTAACTGATCCTTTAAACGTTGTTTGTGTCATATTTTCAATTCTATATTCTAATTCGTAATGAAGTGGTAAAATTGCTTTTGATAAACGTTCATCATATAGACTAGATATTGAACATTGAAAATTTGTTATATTACACGATTGATGAAACATGGATACTGTCGATGTTTGTGAGTCAATTGTTGAAAGTTTATCTGTTTGAGCCGTCTCTATAATTGTTATTTGTTGAGCACGTTTCGGCACTAAACCGACTATAAGACCGACGATAACTAAAGAAGCTACATAGAAAACAGCTCCAAGTATAATCCATTTAGTCGATATTTTTAATCCTTGCAGTGTATTAGTGGTCTCTTGTTCAGAAGACGGTATTTCATAGCGATATGTCGACATATTTTATAATAATAATTCAAATCATTTTATTTTTCAAGAATAACAACCACGACCACCAATTGCCTGATGAAAAGGTGTAAATATTTTGTTGATAAATATTACATTTTATGAAAAACAAGCAAAAAAAAGATGTGAAACTGATGGCGTTATTTTTTTTTTTACAATAATAAACGAATTGACCACTATAGAGAAAATATGTGTCGCTCTAATTCTTCCATTTCTCTAAGATATCTTTGTATTTTGTATTACTTACATCGTATAAAAAGGAAAGATAAGACAGTGTAACATCTATTCTTTTCATGTATTTAGGCTAGTTTTTCTCTGGCATGATCACTAAAGACGTACTACTTTTCGTTCTTCTGCAATTTAGAAAATACAATACGAAAAACCTCTTTTTTAATCTTAAAATTTCAATATCACTATTTAATTTAACACAAAAACAAATATGTTAGACATGTATCCGATTTCGTTTTTAATCTTTACGCTTGAAATATAGTTTTAATCGCACTCTATACTACTATGATTACTATTATTTATTTGTATGAATTTACTCTTCTTATACAATATTATTAGTTGATTGCTCGTTCTGTTACCACCTTAATACATTGTCTCCTTAAAAATTAGAGATAAATAATTCTTCAACTTTATTTCTATGTCACACACTTCTTTTCATAGTCAGTTAGATCATTTAATGGTCATTATTTTTTTGTTCCAAGATTTCGCATACGAAAAGTAACAAATTTTAAAATTTTAAAAATTCCTTTTAAAGAATTTGTCTTCTTTTCATCGTTCGTCAGTCGTATTTTGATTTGTTTTTTTCGCTTTTCGTCTCCAGTTATTGCTGTATCAAGTAGTTCAGATTTATCTAATAAACCATACAAAATTCATTTTTATTTGCTCTAAAGCTATTTATTATACCTTGAAACCGATTGGACACAAATATATCAATGAAATCTTGCATCTACGGACAAAATAAAAATTAGATATCAGATGCAAGACATGTATATACAGTCATTCTTCCATCGAATAATATCCATTTCAAATCACTGTGTTATTATTGTTATTAGTGCATTAAAACGACAATTGTTGAAACCAAATCTAAATTTTTATTTCAAATTTCAAATATAAAACAGAGAAAGCGTTTACAAATCGTTCAATTGATTCTTAATAACTGTGTCGATAAAAATCCCATAGAATATCACATCCAATAGGATTTTTTGCAATAAATTTCATTATATTATAACGGGTAGACTACAAAGAACAAGTCATAATCATTTCCTTTTTTTCGAGCAGCTCCCAATAATTCGCAGACTCTTAAGCTCATTTGATAGAAAAGTTTCTGCTTTACAAGACTGTCAAGTTGAATTGTCGAACAACAAATTTGCCTCGGAATAACCTTTAAAACATCAATGTCTGATCAATGTTCATACTGCGGTGGGCTTGTTCTCCCTCTTCAAAAAAATGTTTGAGAACAAATCAGGAGTAACAGAGACTTATGGTCATACATCCTGAAATTTATCGGTTCCAACAGGATTTTTCAACATACGTAAAACTGATGTACCTTTCAAATACATTTTTGAATCAAATAAGTCAGCTATCTCAACATTTATTGATATATTTGGACGCAAAATTGAATGGAAACTAAGCATAGTATCATACCACAATGCCGAAATTATGTCACGCACTGTCATTTGTGGGGTCTAAGAGGATAAAATACTAAAACTCGTTTTTCAATTCTCAAATCTTTCGATAATCAACATACGAATGTACTCTTAAGTAATCGAGAAACACCTGATATTTTACGATTGAGAATAACGCGGATGGGAGAGACGAGTTTTCGAAAAAAACTGGTGTTAGGATCTCAATGCGATTTTCGGAGAAAAGCAACCCTCAAGTATCGATTTGGATCGCTGTGAAAGACAGCTCTTACCCGAAATCTCCCCCATTCATGGACCGATATTCCTAGATATGTTTTCTCTGCTGTCGCTACTGGTGAAGTTTTGGGATCCGCCGCAAAAAACGGCTCGGTGACGATATTACCATCGCGGAATTGGTTTTCCATCAACCGCCTTTTGTTGCCGAATAATCCAAGAATGTAGCATCTATCGTATATGATTGCAGGATGAAAAACAACAAGATGGTAAAGTACAATGTCAATAACTATCGATGTATTTCGTACCATTTACGTATTGGCAATACTTTCCGTTTGGTCGTGAGGATTTCAAGCTGGAGATGAATTTGGCACACCTTTTTGGGTGTTCTTTCTCTTCCATCTTTTGTTCGTTTTTTACTTTTAGCACTCTGTTTTCTTCAGTGTTAGTTTAGTACGGCTGCCACAATGTCTAGTGCTGTTAGCAGCAACTAGTGTTTCTTTATCCTGACGATGATTGCAATTGTGACTTGAATTTTATTCGTTTTTGGGAACTTCTTGAGAAATCCAAAGGGGGTAAAAAAATTTTCGGGCTGTGTGAGAACTCTTGAAGTCATTTTTTCATGTTCTGATCTGTTTACACAAAAAAAACTTGATCTATACAAAAATTGCATTTGTGAAAATCGCTTCGAACGACTAATTCGATGTTATGATCCTAGCACAATGAAAAAATATACGATTTCTGTACC